AAAAAAAAAAAAAAAAAAAAAAAGGTGGGGTGCCGACGACTGCCGACCGGTAGGTGCCGACCAGCGGACCAATCAAGGGGCGCCGACCATCGGCCTGTGCAACTCTGCAGAAGAGTATATAGTACTCTTGTCACCAAAAAACGAAAAAAAAAGAAAAAGAGAAAAGAAGTACGGCTGTTTCAATTGAAATCCAGGTGTACGATGTATGTTCTTTTCGTTTGGTATTTAACTCCTACCTCACCTTATTTTATTTATTTATTTCCAATTCCTCTTCTCAGACTCTTCTTTCCATGGCTTTGCAGTGCCGGTTCCTGGGTCTTATTTTCAGGGGATAAGAAATTCGGGAGAAGGGCAAGGACGATTGAACACGTCATTCAAGAAGCTGCATATAATGCAACACTCAAGGCAAAAGATGTGTCGACAAGTCTGGGTGAAATGGAGAGGATCCTGCGGCCTGCAAATGGGCAACTAGCTTTTCAAGTCCGGAAAGCAAAGGCCAAACTTGATGAGCAGAGCAGACAGGCAAATCAAAAACTGGCGAGGACATTGCAAAAGGCAGACAGACTGCTACGTGCTCTGTGAGTAGTGGACTTCATGCTTCAGTCGCTCAATGTCCTTCTGTAATTTGCCCTGAAATATCACACATCACAAAACTTGTGGTTACTTCGTTGTTCATGTGACTGTTATTGTTCTGTCATGTCCTATGTCCATCAAGAGATTGATGTTGCCCTGCTGTATGTCTGCATTAGGATTTAAGGTAGACAGATCAAACTGTGCAAACTATAAGTGCATGAAGCTCTTTTCATTGCCTACCGTCTTCACCCGAAAATAACGCCCGGGAACCGGGCGTTATATTCAACATACCCTAAATAGAGCAGATTTTCGTTTTTACTCACTTTTTTTCAAATAGAACACCCCTTCGAATATAACGCCCGGGCACTATATTCGAATAGAACGCCGGGGCGTTATATTTGAATGTTCCATGGGCAGAGTGCCTTGTAGAGGTTGTATACATGGGTTTTAAAGGGCGGGGATGGGGGTATACATGGGTTTTAAAGGGGTTTGAAAGGGGTTTTGACTTCCAAGGGGTATATTTCGGTTTGGTTTTTTGTTTTTGCAATCAGACTCGACTTATTCACACTTTTCATGCACGTGAACAGCAGCACAACAAACTGGTGCCATGCGCCCACACAGAACTCAGAGATATGGCTTCCAGGTAACAGTTCGCTTCCACTGGCTATGGCGACTGTGCGCCCAAACAACTCACTGTTCACACTCTGGATCACCCTGGATGTCCCACGCACATCACTCTGAACACTCACGCAGTACACACACACTGCACTCTACACTAAGCTATGGCAGCTATGGCTGCCGCTACCTATCGCTATGGCTACACAGCTTCACTCTCGCCCACTTCGACTTCGGGCACACTGCAGACCTCCTCGCACAAGCACTGAGGCAGCGCTTCCGCATGGCTTCCGCAGGAATGAATGAATGGCTGGGCGCAGCCTCTTGATTTATACTTCTGTGAGGCGTTGGTCTGCCCTGTAACCCCTGGCCCATGGGGCACACAGTCCCAGATGGGTGGACTGGGACTGCTGACTGTATGAGGTGGACTGCCACCACTTGACCACTTGCCTCTGTCTAACGTAGGCTGACCCCGAAAGGCCACTTCTAGAAACCTCTGTCTTGGCCTTTCAGTACTGTAGCAGCTACGACTTTGCCCTTTCAGGTAAGTAGCAGCTACGACCTTGACCCTTCAGACAGTCTACAGCTACGACCTCTGGACTGTCTAGACTCCTACCCGACAGGTCTACAGTTCGAATCCCTTCTACCCTGTGACCTACGAAATCCTACCTACCACTGGCGGTCCTACAGGTCGCGGGTTCAATTCTACGGGTTGACACATACATTGTACACAGGTAAGGTGGGGATCTAGGGATCGAGCCCTGGGATCTGCATCGGCTACTGCAAACCGGTGAATGCTGTTTCACTCCTGCCGGCCTAAATTCGAGGTCCTCCGAGAAAATTTAAGTCCAAGGCAGGGCCTTTACCTTTCCTATCTCTTTCGTAGGCGCGGACTATGTCGGGAGCCATCTCTAGAAGTTCAGTTCTAGTGAACCACCGGTCGTCTTCTGGTTCTTGATATGAAAATCTGACTTTGTACTGTTTCTGAGGACGACCTCTACCTCCTGTTCTGAACACATCTTCACCTACGATGCCGTCAATGTCGTATCTTCCGTCCATATCAGGTGGGATCATAGATCGCCTAGATGGAAACTGATCACTTACTGTGCACGGCAGCAACTTTGACGGATGGAAAACTGGGTAGGTGTGGAGGTGTAGGGGCAGTTCAATGGTGTAGGATGGACCATCTTCGCCACCCTTAACTTCTAAGACTGGCCACGGTCCCCTATAGGTGGGAAGTAACTTCTGCGAGATGTTCTCCTCAGGTGTAAACTCTTTAGAACTGACCCAGACTAAGTCACCTACTTGGAACTGTGAGGGGCGACGATGTTTGTTGGCTTGTTCGATCATCCTGTGCTGGGCCTTCCTGAGGTTCTCTACAACAGTAGCTAGTTCTTTCTCGTGCTGTACAGCAAACTCCTTTGTCCCGGGCGGTAATCTGTGAATCTGATCCCAGTTGAGTCCCTCAAACGGTCTGCGCAGTCTAAAGGACTTGTGCAGTTCGTTGGGAGTGTGGCAGGTGGACAGATGCACGCTATTATTATACGCACTAGCTACTTTAGGTAACATCTCATCCCAGTTAACCTAATCTGTATATACATGCGCAGAACTTGCTGTAGGATCTTGTTCATTTGCTCTGTCTGACCGTTAGTCTCAGGATGGCGGCCAGACGACATCAACAACTTAGATCCATACACTCCCATGAGTTCTTGCCAGTTCTGGCTGGTGAAACGACTATCTCTATCGCTAACTATTGACAGTGGGATTCCATTCTCACTAACCCAGCAGTCAAAAAACTTATGTATCACTAAATCTGTACGTGCTTCTGACGGCAAGGGAACAAAAACTGCATATTTGCTAAACTGGTCAACTGCGACCATGACTTGGTTCTTGCCATGTCTACTCTTGACTTGGGTGTCCATGAAGTCAATGGACACTGAGTCTCCCGGCTGATCCGGAATGGGCAAGGGTCTGACAAGACCTGACGGGGCGCGCGTAGAAGTCTTGTTACGCTGGCAAACTTTACAACTGCGAACATACTCTACGCAGTCATTCTTCATCCCTGGCTAGGTATATGCGCACATCAGATTGGCTAAAGTCTTTTGCCAATGAAAGTGACCCTCTGTGTCGTGGCATTCTCCCAAAATCAGACTACGGATCTCTTCGCTATTGGGGATGCACAATCGGTCAAAGACATTAGTCTTCTCAAAAAGCAACCCATCAGTAGTGCGGTAATTCGGTTCAGTCTCTGGGGCCTCTTTGACCCTCTTGAGGAGGTCACCATAGATAGGGTCCTGTGCATAGGCTTCTCTAATTTTTTGCTGCAGGTCCTTCCCTATGTCTAGGTAATGCACTATTGCCCCAAAGTAATCAGCTCTCCTACTCAGAGCATCCGCAACTACGTTATACTTTCCCTTGGCTGGCTTGAGCTCAAAGTCATACTGATCTATCTCTGCGGCCCACCTAGTAAGCTTAGGTGTCATCTTGGCCTGCGTCTTTAACCATCTCAACGTCTCATGATCGGAATAGACTTTGAAGTGCCTCCCAAGCAAGTAGTGCTTCCAGTGTTCTAAGGCGCCTGAGAGCGTAGAGTTCCCTCTCATACGTAGATGTCGCGACCTTCTCTGAAGGCATTCTGGCGGACATGAACTCTACGGGCCTATAACCATGGCCATCGTCTTGCTGCAACACAACACCTATGCCGTACTGACTAGCGTCCATAGTGACGACAAAGGGCAAGGACGGATCGGCTACCTTAAGGACTCGATATTCTATCAACGCCTGTTTCAACTTCTTCATAGCAGACGTGCAGTCCTTATCCCATTTCCAGATGGTCTCCTTCCCGAGCAATCTGCGAAGGGGCGCAGCGATGGTGGAGAAGTTCCTCACGAATTTCCTATAGTAGTTGGCTAGGCCTAGAAACGACCACAACTCTGTCAATGTACGCGACGTTGGCCAATCTCTAATCGCTGCGATCTTGCTATCCTCTGGCTTAATGCCGTCTCCGTCTAGGACATGGCCTAAATACAAAACTTGGGTCTTTGCCCACTCGCACTTTTTTGCATTGATCTTGAAGTTAGCTTCCCTTAGCTTGTCCAAGACCTGCCTGAGATGACCCTGATGCTCCTCGAGGGTCCTACTAAACACTAGAATGTCATCTAAGTAAACTACAACAAATCTATCTAACCAAGGCCTAAACAGGTCATTCATAGACCGCTGGAAAGTTGCTGGCGCATTGGTTAGTCCAAAGGGCATCACTATAAACTTATAATGCCCATATCTAGTCCGGAACGCGGTCTTATACTGATCATCGGGGTGAACCTCTATCTGATGATATCCGGACTTCAAATCTATCTTAGAGAAATACTTGCACCCCTGCACTCGATCTAGAAGATCGTTTATCCTCGGCAGTGGTTCAGCATTCTTCACTGTAATAGCATTCAGACCCCTATAGTCTATACACATCCTTAGCTCCCCCTCCTTCTTGGGGACAAAGAGAACAGGTGCTCCAAAAGGAGACGAACTGGGCCTAATCCAACCCTTTTCAAGGAGCTCGTCCAATTGCTTGCGAAGCTCCTCCAACTCCCGCGGGGACATCCTATACACAGCGCCCTTAGGAGTTCTACTGCCAGGCTCTATCTCAATACGGTGTTGGATGGGCCGCAACACTGTTCCTGTCGGCGGCTCAGCTAGGTCCTTAAACTCTTCCAGCAGTTGGGCAATAGCAGGGTCTATAGGCTTTTCTTCTTTAGGCTCAGTGACTGGCCTAACATAGGTTACGAAAACCTGTTCTTCTAGCTGCTCCTTCACTAATCGTGCAAACGCAGGAGCACTAAGGCAGCAATGTGCCAAGGAGTTATCTACTCCTGACACATGGTACAAACGCGCAGTCTTGACATCGCCTGACGGGCTAGGGAGCCTACACTCATGCTCCCTCAAGTGGAGTGTGGCCCCAGTTGCCTCTCCCCATTCCGTACCCAGGACTATATCGAATGGGAGGTTATCCTCTACGAGGAGAGTCAGGGAATGTAGAACTTTCTCTACTTTCCCATCCTCCTCTAGGCGGAAATACGCCTAGACTCCCTCTACGTAGTCTTCTACTCGCATCGTGCGATTATCCGCAAGGATACGGACTACAGGGTCTGCTAACTTTTGAACTTTTAACTGCAACTTCAGCTTCTGCAACGCCTTCCTACTAATATAACTACGAGTGGCTCCACTATCCACTAAGACGCCAACTCTACCTCTAAAAATCTCTGTATCTACCAATATAAGTTGCCCTTTATTCTCCTTTTTCATCTTGGCCCAGGCGGGCATCCTGTCCTTTAATTCTTCAGCCACGCCTGTGAGGGAGGTGTCTAGAGAGACCCTAACACAAGCAGTCTCTGGG